ATGCCCCCCCCCCCCCCCCCCCCCCTACCCATATTCCATTTTGTCAATTCCCGGTAGTTGTGACGTGTGTGCGGCAGGAATCCAAGATACTCTCAAACCTGAGTTGTTTGGTTGCGCCCCACTCGATCATACTGCATTTGTTCCCGTGAGAGCGTTGGCCACACATGTCAGCTCTATGCGTGGTAGTTTGGCAACACCTGTTCGGGTGGTCGAGTCGGAAAGATGCTGCCTGTGTCGTACTGCAGGTGAATGACGATCGTCAGAGGGAAGCCATGGAGGCGCAAATTCGCCACTTCGGGCAGACTCCTAGCCAGGTGTTGAAGGAGCCACACCCCATCAGATTGCCACCAGAGGTGAGAGAAAGTGACGAACGTAGTACGTGTCGTCCTGGGTCGAATCGCGTCGATACATTTAGTAGACAACTCACTTTGTTGCGTAGTAATCCCGTCAATCAAGCTTCAAAGCCAATTTCGGATGCGCTGACCCACTAATTCCGCACTTCACACCGGATTTCCCCTCAGGAGTGCGTGCTACCCATTTTCAGCCCAACGTCTACCCTGGCTAGCCTGAGGGTGAGTGCTTTCAACCGGGTGCCGAATCCCTGAATGCAGAGTAGAGAGGCAAAAAAAAGAGTGTTTGCGGGATATGTTCCTGTAGTCAGAGCAGCTCGCTTGACATATCGGCGTTAACAGTGGCACTAGCCAAGGGGTACCGCATGCGTTCTTTCTCATGATGTGTTTGTGGGTTGCGGTTGTCAGGTGTTTTCTGCTGGGAATAGGCCGCACGACCCTGGCCGCGGCGGGGCGCTGCTAGTGTACTGCACAAAGGACCGTCTGGTGTCGGTGGATGCTGCACTCCGGGTCACCACTTGGACATGGAGTGGAGTCCCGGACGGTTTCGGGCTACCCTTCACGCTGGGCACGTCCGTAGAAACTTCTGTATCGTCTCGTTCATTACACATGAGCAACGTTTTAGCCCAACAATCCGCGCCGAGTGGCCCGGTACTGGTCGCTCCTGGTAGGGGTCGCGGGGAGATCACCTGCGCCTCGACGAAGGGGCCGGCGACCTCTTTCGGGTGGAACGCGGCCCCATGGAATTCAGTGGCTGGTGCATCGGCGAGTGGGCGGGGGGCAGGAACACCAGACGTACCTGCACGGGCTATCGGTCGCGTGCACTCATGTTTCGGCCTGTGCACAGCTTTTCATGGGGGCTTGGAGTCAATTCTTTCATGTGGGTACTGGGACAATGGTGTTCGACTGCATCGTGTCAACTCCGGCGGCAAGTTGCCCTTGGATGGTTCAGAAACGGGAGGGCATTACGGTGCAATAACTTGCTTAGCGATTGCACAGGAGAGCTCGCTGCTGGTCACGGGGGGACAGGATGCCACCTGCCGAGTGTGGGTGGTGGGCAACGCCCCGATGGCGTCCGCTCTGGGTGGGACCAGCGCTTGTGGTGTCATCCCAAAGAAGGGGACATCGAGCAAAAACTCCATGGTATGCGTGCACGTACTTTACGGGCACGAAGCCCCGATCACGTGCCTGGCAGTCTCGGAGGTAAGCACCTTGTATCATACGTGTCGATAGTGTTAATTGCTATTCACTGTTGAGCACGTGTCTTTCGTTCATCTCTATTTTTTTTTGTGTATCTTGGCACACTTTACGACCAACAAATATTTCGTACTGATGTACAACTGTGCAGTATCTTTTCGTTATTTCTATCGTCTATGAAAACTTATGCATACAACGTACGTTTGGTCGGCGCTCCGTACCACACCTCCAGCGCAGAATTTCGTAATCAAAGAAGTGAACCAATGCTGACGCAGGACCTGGATACCGTTGTGTCGGGGGCGAGCGATGGTCGGATAGTGCTGCACTGCTTGAAGAACGGCTGCTACGTACGACAGTACCGTTGCGGTACGGGCTCGGCAACTGCTACGGACGCTGCTGAAGCCAGTACTCCGGAAGCCAGCCAACTGGCATTTTCCCGCCACGGCGATGTAGTCGTGCACAGCTGGACTGACCGTTCTCTTCATCGATATAGCCTCAACGGGACCAGACTGGCGACTGCCGTGGCTCCTACGACGATAAACTGTCTCTTGACAGCAGGAGGGGGGGAATACTTGTTGGCGGGGGGGCAAGACGGCCTGATTCGAGTGCACACCCTCCACGATCTGTGTGTGTTGCACACGATCGACTTGCAGCAGCATGGCGGAGTTACTTGCATGCGGATGTCTCCGGACCACGAGTACCTACTGGCAGGCTCTCAGGACGGAGAGGTATCAATCATAACTGACGCAAGAAAGCGAATGCGTATGCTTGACCTCGCTTTGCGCAGAGCATTTGTGGGCTAAGTGTATTCGTGTTGAATCGCATGAAAATTTCACAAGTCACACTGAAGGATGGACGCGACTAAAGCAACCATCAGGCACTCTATCGGACCTTGTCGTACAATTCTACAGCGCAAATGCCGCAGGTTTCTCGGCACTGTCGTAGCTGCTTTGAACCGCCGGATCAACAGCAGTGAGGATTTTTCTTACGGTACTAGGCGAGTTCAACGCTTGCACTGCCAGATCGGCCACGTCTGCCCTGTTGATCACCCCTGCCGCCTTCGTATCCTCTGTTAGTATAGCGGTTCCGGTGGCAGCGTCGCTTTTGAGTCCCCCAGGGCGGATGATCGTCCACTCTGAGTTGGTGTAGTACTTGAGTAGCATGTTTTCTGCCAGGGTCTTCGCCTTCAAAGCTTTCTCAAGAACCTGGAGACATAGGATAAGGGAAGTTTACAATCGTGCGGGGTGTTGGTTGCGAGGTTAGTTAGATAGAGATAGAGGCTGGTAGTCTTAGAACGTAGAACGCTCAGATATTGAGTTCGCGAGAGTCGAGTGCCCGCCAAAAAACCCATCGGATTGGTGTCGAAGTCCGGCCGAATGAAAAAAACAACGGCTTGCCGATGCCACCCACTCTGAGCTTGTCACATGGAAACAACTTGTGTGGCCACAAATAGAGGTTGCGGGTAGCAATAGTCGAGATATTCAAGTTTGTCGGTGACCCTCTCAATTGTGGCATGATAGTCAAGTGGGCTGAACCAAAACGTAGGGAGTGCATGTTTGATTGGACATGGACAGCCTTATGATGCTATGACAAAACTCGTGCGGCCACCGCTAGAGGTTGCGGCATCAGTAGTCGAGAGATTCAAGTTTGTAGATAGGTGAACCCTTTTCATTTTGGGATGTAGAAGAGTCGAAGTGGGCTGAACCCTAATCCAATTTTTTTCTTGAAATGACAGGATGGGGCTTTTGTGAGGTATCCTTTTGTTGGTGATCCAGAAGTGGCCTTTCGGGAACAGCAGTGTAAGTAAGTAAATATTGAGGTCAGTTGTCCTAAACAGGTGAACAATTTTGGAACGCACAAGGAGTGGTTACACTGTACCTTGAAACGGTGTACTACTTAACCCCACACGACATTGCCGCGGATCTGTCTCCCCCACGGCAATATTAAATAAAACGACTGACTGTCGTACTGTGAAGCCAAGAGCGAAGGCTGCTCACCTGGTAAACTTGGTCACTAATTGCCTCACGGCTGCTGCCGCACCCAACGCTCGTCACCATCACGACCCGAGTAATGCCGAGAATGCCCGCAGATTCGATCACGTTTCTGTTCCCCGCATAGTCTACCCGTTTGCTCTCGTCGCCTTCAGGGGCTCCTCCAAGGGTAGTGATTGCAGCGTCGCAGCCGTCCAAAACCGCTTCAACCCCCTTCAAGTCCAAGGCGTCACAGACCACCGCCGAAACGCCTGCATTGAGTAATATTCAAGTGCAAGACCACCTTTATGTCGTGCATAGTTCCGTCCTGCCCCGTGGTAGGGATTGCGATTCATCAAAACATTTGATCCGCGTTTCCTTCCGTGTTTTCCTCGCACTCTTTGGGGGAAACCGCACCGCACCGCACCGTACCGTCACATTTCGACATGAAAAAAAAATGTACCGCACCGCACCGTAACATTTCGAGCTGAACAAAACCACACCGCACCGCACCGTGTGGATTCGGACTGAGTGTAGAAGGGACGCATTTGGGGTGGTTGTGAACATGAGTCGCCTGGCGCTGCCAGAACTACTAGTTGTGCGTACTATTCGTACTGGAACAATTCCAATTCCAACAGCAGTAGAGGCAAACGTGAGGAATGTAGCTGCTGTTGATGCGTGTTAGGGACGTAAGATGAATGAGGTGAATGGTACAGCAGGTGCCTCATTGTGTCTGGGGTTTTCGGGTTTGTTTTCTGATCGCAAGGCCTCGGAATTTGTCGTTGGCGGCCTCCATGCACAGCAAAAATATATTTTTTATTCTGCTTTCGATGGACTAAACCGAACGTATTCCACGATATCGTAGATACCCCGTCATTTTGTCACACGGATAGCCGTTGTATTTCGGCTGTTTTCTTCGACGGTGCACCGTCGCCAAGGCCGCGGCTCGCGCGGTTTTTATCACCTGGTGAAAAAAACACACCTTAAGAGAAACCGTGAGACAATGCACCGCACCGCACCGCACCGTGATCGTGTCAAAAAAAAAACTGCACCGCGGTGCGGTTCCACACCGTGAACACCCCTCTGGGAAAACTTGCATCCCATACGCAAAATGGGGCTTGAATGAGTGCTTGACGCTTTATCCCTAGCCGCCAGTCTGCGGGAGGGAAACAACAACAACGTCGGGTGGACAAAATGCAGTATTCTCTGACAAGCTACAGTAGTACGACATGGTGGGGAACTTGGCCGTTTCGAAGACACTGATGACACAGCAGGCTCCCGTAGACGAGGTGGATGGAGGTCCCAACTTCCGTGATAACTTTTGCCCTTTGCAGAAGGCAGACAGGTTTCTCCTTTGACATGGACGCAACAAGATGTAGATGTCAACAACGAATGGGACTCAGGGCAGCACCTCAAAGAGGGTCCGCCTGCCCATGCCAGTATGTGGCTCATGGGTCATGTATCCATCGGTGATTTACCCAGTTCAAAGAGTCTCTGAGAAATTCTACGGACAGTACCCTTCCTCACACTTTGTGTGCATGTACACAGGTACCCGAGTGCCTGATTTATAGTTTTTTCATCCACCTCGTTTTCAAACAATTTCATTGTAGCGCTGCCCTCCATCCAGTAGGGATGCTTTTGGGATGAGAGAAAAGGCGGGTTTGAGCTTCATGGAGTCTTTCAGCAGTATTCTATCTATATCATGTTTTTCGGGTGGGAATCAAGGACGCAGCCCTGTGTCGGATATTCAAGGGAATGCATACTAAAAAAACACGAACAACAAATACAGCAGTCCCCCAGAAACGCCTGTAGACGGTGGTTTTGATCTTTAACCTGTTCGCCAGCAAGCAAGCGGCTGATGTAGAGGTCTGCTTCGATTCATTCGACGCCCTCATGATCCATGTGCACAGCTCCGACAAATAAACGGGAGAGAAGCGACTTGCCGTAATATTCTAGCCGAAGAGGTAGTTTGTTCCACCGTGACAACACAAGGTATCGTTGTAGAGTTCTCTTGCACCCCCGTGATAAGTCTCTGATCTGTGCCAAGCCAACCCTCCGCCCTCGCGCGGAAATGAAATCTGCTGTTGTGTACGCCCCTGTGGCAACTCTACGACTTTACCGGCTGAATTTTAAGGTAACACGAACAGCAGTGCGGTGGAAGATGCACGGCGCACATCTGTGGCAAGGCCGCAGACAACTGTTTCGATCCAATTACACGGTTTACGGCAGTGAATATAATAGCGAAAGAGGGAAGACCACCCCGGAAATAAGGGGGGATTGCAGCCATGTTTCATCGGAAACTCCCTCGAACACGGCGAGCTCTGTGCAATCCCTCTCTCAGGTTGAGTCTTACGGTGTAATTATTTCCGGATTGGATTTGGGGGGGGGGTCCTTTTCTGAGCCAAAAAAATAATTTGGGCGTCTTACGGGTAGGAAAATGGCATTTTCCAACAGCCCAAAATCCAATAGGGCAGTTTCCGACAGCGATTCCGGCCGACCTGTTAGAAAATTGGCCCATTTTCCAACAGCGATCCTGTTGGAAAATCGCTGTTAGAAATGGGGGGGGGTACCCCCTGGTCACACCCCGATCGTGCCAGAACGAGGAACTACACCGTCTGCTGGCCAAACAGAGGCCAGTATCATGAGGTCATGCACAAACCCTCTGCAGATATCTAAAATTCAGGGCGTTCTGCGTCGTGTTGGCCGCACACGAGCCGAAAACGTCAACCCTGCCACATTGCTCTGCTGACGTTCTTGCCTTTGGGCCGAAAAGAGCCGTTTTTGCGCCTGCTGCATGTGTGACCAGTTCAAAACGCATGCCAGAGAGAGGCCTTAAGCCGTCGACATCCACAAACTGCAGCCAATGGCGTGTGTTCATACTCGTGCCCTCTGCTCGCGTCCCAGAAACAGAGCGTGTTGTCCAGTTTTGATTGCACACGGCCTGCAAACGTGAACCAAAGTGTGTTGCGGTGTTGACTTTTTGGTCTTTTTTCTTGTTCCGCCGCGTGTTTGCTCCGTGTGTCACCCGCGACCAGTCAAAAACGCATGCCAGAGAGAGGCCTTTGGCCGACGACATCCACAAACAGCAGCCACTGGCGTGTGGTCATACACATACCCTCTGCTCGCGTCCCAGAAACAGAGCGTATTGTCCAGTTTTGATTGCACACGGCCTGCAAACGTGAATCGAGATGTTGTTCGGTGTTGCCTTTTTTGGTCGTTGCCAGTAAGCTTTCGGCACCTCCCCCTCGTGACTGATTGCATGTTTATGACCAACTGTGAGCCTACGATTTTTTTTTTTTCCTGCCGCTTGCTCCGAGTCGAGTGTGATCAGTGTACAACGCATGCCATCAGAGAGAGGCCTTTGGCCGACGACATCCACAAACTGCAGCCACTGGCGTGCGATAATACACATGCCCTCTGCAGGCGACCCATAAATAGGGCGCTCGGTGTCTTGTTGGTCGCACACGAGCCAAAACCGTGTACTGAAGCATGTTGTGACTCACAAGAACATGAATCAGCCGCTTTTTTCCCTTCAGAAAAAAATATACCTCGAGGAACCGTAAGACGGTCGTCTGGATCTGGGATAATTTTTTCGGTGCAGGCCACCCCCCCCCCCCCCGAGAGAAAAAAAAAATCCCTGAAATAATCACACCGTAAGACTCAGCCTCAATGTCTAAAGTTGCTTGTATTTTGGCGAAATGCCTCTCCAACATAAAATTCTGACTTGAGATCCCCCAGTCACAGGCCCTGCAATTGAAACCCCTCTCTGTATGTCATAGATTAAAAAAATACTCTCCTCCAGCGAAGGCGGTCGGGTTTGCCCCACATTGTTGAAGTCTGACTGGGCGGTACCGCGTGTCCCCGCCTGCTTGATGTAGCGAACACCAACCTAACGCGCGAACCCACGCGAGGCCTTAGACCTTAGGTCAGCTAAGGGTGGGGTTGGATCTTCCGTCGGCACAAAAGTGCAGACGAAACGCTACTGTTTCTGTTACGGAGGCGTTTATCCTTGATACAAAAAAGCAGCACGGTGTTGCTACCTGTGCGCATCAGGTACACCCAAGTTTGGATTTGATAAAACAACAAAAAAACATTTGAGATTGGACTCTATCCACCTACCCTTGATTGCCTCCAATTCGTCCTTGGCGTCTTCCCTTCGAACCAGAGCCACAACTTCAGACCCCTGGTCGACCAGCTTGTCGATCACAGCACGTCCTACCCCCTTGGCACCGCCAGCAACGAACACCTTGCCGTATGCCATTCTCAAACCGGTTGATTGCCCAGAAATCGTGCTCCGGGCCGTTCCAGTCACTTTGTTCCTGCAATATCATCCACCAAGGTGCCCGAGAGAGTGAGGCTCATTTTTCTTTTATTAGAAAGTTTACATAACCTCACAGAAAGACTACGTACCCGTTCGAGATATAAAGTAAGGACGATAAAACCACAGCAGTCGGAAGGGAGGTGCTCAAGTCTTTTCAGTGAGTGGTTTGTGTTGACCAACGGCAGGTACATGCCTATACAGCGGTAGTATGTTCTCGCAGACACTACATGAACGAATTTCCACTCTGTCACTGGAAGGGGTAGCCTACCATCCGGGATCACACAGAGTAAGTTCTCTGCAATTGACCCTTCACTGTTTCTGAACGCTTGAACTTGCGCGCCACAAACACAGACTGAGAAAACCTCCACTCATGTTATCTACACCCTTCAGGCGTAACATGAACACGGTCGGCGAGACATGATTCGAGTCCGCGGCAACTCACCAAGCACATGGAGTTACGAACGATGTTACCGTGCCGAGATACACTAGTGAGAGGCACAGAGAATGGACGGAAACCATGGCGCACGTGTACGTGTGGATCCGAACTGGGGCGGGCTGTGTAGGGAGGGTTGAGGTGCTCGTGCTCGTGCTCGGAACCCAGCCCGAGCCCGGTTGGGGGAGGTTGGGGGCACCACCAACAAATGTAGGTTGGGGCGATGTGGGGGGTATTCATCCCTTGCGTCCCCCCCCTTCACTCATGCCAACTGCTCATCCATGCGCTCACCCCACATGTGCCAAAACAGAAAACCACTCACCCGACCTTACTGATTAGCTTGCGGAGGAGGGAGTGCACTCAGGTGGTGAGCAACAGCCAGCAGCGTGATGTTTTTCCCTCCTGTGAGCTTTGGTCTCGTTGAGGAGGGTCTCTACCGGTCCGCATTACCCAACGAAATCAACTACCCCTTCCTGGAGCGGCTAGGTCTGAAGACCATCATCTACCTATACCCGGACGACGATATCGATGCACAGCTGTGAGTTTTGTAGAAAAAGCTTGTACAGATTTTCTATTAAAAAAAGGCTTCGCCACCAGCAGCGCACATCTTGACGTGTGTGACGCCAGAATTCACGGGCTGCTTGTATTTTGAGCTGTTTGCATGTAATGGTATGATATGCAATAGTTAATTGTATGGATGTATCTTTACATTGGATACATACCAGGTCCACAATATCCATCTCTATGCATACAACCTCTATGATATGCGTATAATACGGGAGAGAACCTCTGTGATACTTGCCATGCGCCTGTGTGGCCTGTTCGTGCGAGCCCACTCAAATAAGCAATTCGTGCGATCCCACCGATTAGTCAATGAGTCAATAAGGGTGATCAATGTTATATCCTGTGTCCAGAACACACCCGCTTGAGAACCTCTAGGGTCGGCCGAGGCTGGTTCTTAGTTCCTACGGTCATGTGACGAATGGTCGCCATATAGGTTTTAGTGTAGGGTTCTTAACCGAGCTCACAAATGGTGCTCAAGTTCTTAAATATTGTTTTTTTTTTAGCTCAATTTCTGTAACTCCCGGGTTCTAAATGCGGGCGCGGTGTATTGTATGCTTAGCTATCGTTGGTTGCGCAGACAGAGACATCCCACTCAAGGAAGCGCTTCGTGCATCTCCAACCGATTAATCAATGAGAGTGATCAATATTGTTATCTTGTTTATTCGTGTTTTGTATGCATAGCTATCGGTGGTCCCGCAGGCAGAGACAGAGAGAGTGACCTCGGACCTCGGTTGGCACATTCGTGCTCAACCAAGCTTGGTTCGACCGAGGTAGGCCGACCACCCTTCCTTTTACCATGTTTTTGCGCTTTTCCACGTGCTTAGGGTGAGTTTTTTGGAGGACCAAGACGTGACTCTGGTATCCCTAGGAGAACACGACGACAAGCGCAACAAGAGTTGGGCACCTGTTGGAGAGGAGATCGTGTTGGCAGCCCTCGAACGCATTGTGGACTCTGTTCATTATCCAGTTCTTATAACGTGTAACACTGGCAAGCACAGGACGGGTGAGAAGCAAATGCTGCCATCGTGGTACACCTGTCGGTCAGCTTGTTCGTTGTCGTTGCCGCAGGTCCTTGTTTGGTTTGCTGACTTGTACTACTGCTGTACACCGGTATCCAAGTCTGAGAAATAGGTGCCTGGTACTAGAGGACAAGGTAGCGATGATCGTGCGCAGCGAATGATCAGGTAGCACAGCAGCATTTTTGACCCACGTTGTGCCAATTCTATTTCGCACAACGTGGTCTGCTTGCTGCAAAGGAACGGTGGTGGCGTGCCTTCGGAAACTTCAGCGATGGAATTTGACATCAATCTTTGAGGAGTACCGTCGGTTCACTAAACACAAGGTGCGGTTCTCAAACCCTGTTTCCCATATGATTGTTCGCGGATGTAAAGCTAGCTGGAGTTTTGGAACTCAGGAGATTTCATGGCCATGCCTTCACGTGTGCGACGTCTCCCTTTGATGTTTGCGTCGTAGAGAACCTCTTCCATGAATATGCCATGCCATGTCAGACACCCTCAAGTGATCCCTTTTTCGGAGAGTCAGGCTAAAGCTAGGCTACAACAGAGGACCAATAATTTATTGTTTACGTTGTGTTTTGTAGCGTTGCGTACGTTGCCGAATCCCCCCGTTGTTTGTGTTTGTTCGTCTCGCTACCCCAGCTTAGGATGGCCGAAAACATGTGTGACTTTTACTTTTCTCGATCGCAGTGCAAGATTTTCGCGCTCTCCGGCATTCGTTGTTCGCGTTCAGGTCAGAGTTCAGAATGAACAATTTATCGAGCTTTTCGACACGGATCTGGTGCACCTTCCACCGGAGGCTCCTCGATTTGTAAATAGATGAAGCGGCCAGGTAGCTTGATGGGATGCACCAACACCAGCACCTACGATCGAAAGAACCTTCAAGGTAAGAGGGGGGATTAGGCGTTCAATTTAGTGGCGTGTCCTCGCTGTTCCTGCGGATTGCCTGAGAGGAATATGTTACCTGGCCTCCTCTACCGATTCCCTGCTGTTGTGCATGTCTGGTTTACTGCTCTGAGGGATTGTGCTAAGGAGGTAGAAGCTGTTCCAATCATTTGGTTGATACTATTCGTTGATACATACGCATCGCATCTGCCAACAATCATGTTGGTTGTCGACGTGTTCTGGAGGGATTCACGTTGTTGGATCTGTTTGGTTTCAATTTAGGCATGCTCCAAGTAAACGTGAAGACACCCAAGGCTTTTGCTCTTGATGACTTCGTTAGATGCGGCGTCAGTCACGCCAAATGTTTAGTAGGTCAGACAAGAAGCGCCTATCTTACCTTTTGTCTATTTTTTTACATTTTGTTTCCGATGCAGGTGTTTCCAGGCTGAACGTCGTTGTACGGTTCTGGGCAGCAATTCGGTGGGGTTTTCCGAAGCCCCTCGGTAACCGGACGCAGTGGAGAGTCAACACCTGTTCTAGCCGTCGTAGGAAACGATTATAGAGCATAGTTTGCCAGCAATTTGCTTGGCTCGTACGTTTGGGCCTTGGTAGGCATGTTGTAAGGTATTGAGTTTGTTGACGATCGATACCGGTCTCTGCACGCGCCAGCAAAGAGGAACCGGAATAATAGAGAGATCCCATGATACCATGGTTTCGCAAAAACGCAACCTACAGCAGTGTTTCCCTCCAGCATTGGGGAAACAATAGGTGACCCCCGCACATGTTTTTGTGTATACCGCACATGCTGACAGGATCCAGGGGGTCAGCAAAGCGCGCAACAGCGAAAATAGCGGACAGCGGTAGTATTTGTTCCGTTCCTGTAGAAGGGAATGCCTCCCGTACGTACCTCGAAGACAAAACGCGATGACAGCAGTAGACACACGTACGTGCATGAGAGGAAGCGGGTGTAGGTATAAATATTTTGAAGATTTTTCACCCGACCTTGTGATGAAGTGTAACGGGGCGAGGGAGCCGAACTAAACACGCCAACTACTAATCGCTACCAAACAATTTGTTGGTGGGTTCTTGTGACTGCGCCGAGACTCAAACCACATCCCAAACTCTCTACAAACGTCTGCTACCAAAAATACGAAGCGAACCACTCTGACAATATCATAAGCAAATTGCTGGTCGCCCCGGTGGTCTGGGTAATATCCGCGAAAACCTTCTAGTGGCCAGGGTTAGGGGTGGGTTCGAATCCCGGCGCAAGCGAGGTACGCATGGGTCCGTTGCCGAGTAAACGGCACAAAAAAATCCAATCTGTGAGCGCGTGAGCGCGCTCAAATTTGACGTGAATAATAAAAAGAGGGTCTCCCTGGACAAGACAATTGTAGAGTGCCTACCCGTGGAACCTCTGATCCTATCTGTGAGGACTCCCAGTTCGGTCCAGCAGGTGCGGTTGAGTTTGTTCAAACGTTCAAACACATCTCCACGTTCCGTCCTTCTCATCTTCAGCGAGCCAGCCGTCAGCGCAATGACTGGATCATCTACGTTGTTTGTGGTATCGAGTGTAGCCATCCTGGCGCGAGATTGCAACAGCCTTCTTGTGCATCCACATTTATCCATTAGTCGACTCTCTACATCGGCAGCAACTTCGTACAGCAGCAGCAGCAGCAGCAGCAGCGGTACGCGGCCACTTCGCATGGTGCTCGGCCATCACATCGAACCCGTGGTATCGCTACTCTTGGCCGCAGATAATGACCCTTCGCTCAGGTGCGGAAGTTCTCTGGGCCAAACGCAACGTCAATTATGTGAGAGAGCGCACATGTGAACTTTAACTTTGGATATCCATCCCGTGACGAGTTCAACTACAGCGGTATCCCAACGGACACCGCATCTACGCCAGCCCTGCCATGTAATCGCTGTACCCAAATAGAATGTATATGTTAACTCGCATGACTCTTCAATTGGTGGACGCGTTGGCGTATCTCGCTGTTGAATGGACACTCCGAGGACTGATTTATGTGTATGCTGTGGGCGTGCCCCTGACTTGTGTAATTGGTCTCCTTCATGACAAAATGCAACATGCAACAACGGTCACGCAGTACCCTCGGCGATCTGGCACAACAAGCTCCGGACGTGATAGGAGCTGCTTCAGATCTGGCAGACTCTGCCCAGGCTTCGGTTGGCGAATCCCTTGGTGCAATAGGAAATGTTTGGGACTCGATCGTCGACACGGTTACGTCAGCCAAAGACCAGGTGTGTGGGGGGGGGGAGCCGAAGTTGAAGTATATGTGTGTTGCATACAAAGGCGCTTCGCGTAGGCTGTATGGCGATGTAAAGTGTGTGCGAGTCGAGTTTTAAGATGAGAGGCAAGAGACGTGTGGCATATGCGTATGTATGTGAAGAGTTGTTGTGCTCATTTATTTGTTCGAAGAGCGGATACATACGCACAATGAATATACCGAAGTAAAGCGACGGCCGGAGGACAGCGAGAGGAAAACTTGCACATGTGGCAAGTGGCAAGAAACACCGCAGCAAGAACAATGTCGTCGAGTTATGTAGTTGTACACATACAGAGACCATGCACCGAAATGGACCTGTATGTACGGCTCCAACACCACACCGGAAAACAAATAATTCCAAGTTTATTCATATTTATATCCCGATAGGGCGGCGGAGGAGGACATACATATTTGCCCCGGTGGACGCAACGCTTCCTAAGCTTTACTTCCATCGATGTACTGATTTCTGATTTCGAACCCTACACCTACTGCTGTCCACATTTTTTGCAATGGCCTAAGAACCTAGGATATGGCCCTATCCCTAAACCGACCCAAAGGGCTCGGTTACTGTGCACTGCTGTGCACCATTAGTAGTGCTAGGTTGCTGTGCACGGGCTGCACCTGCCCAAGGAATGTTCCAAGAAATGACATTTCGACATGGAGACCACCACGTTAGACCCAATCACTCCATCGTAATACTTTGTACACAGTGTACTTGAGGTGTAATTTCCAGGCTTCTGTGCGCACGACACCGAGCGCAACCCCCCCCCGCTTTTTAAAGGGAGACACATACGGCAGTAGGGTACTTTGTCTTGCGGCATGCGGAGACTTGGTTGCTTGGTTGTCGCGTGTGGCGAGGGTATGCACATGTCGCCAGCGCACGAAATTGGACCACGTCAGCCTCTTACAATAGCAATGTATGAATGTGGCCTGGACTGTCACTAAATCGTGTTCTGATTGGGCGAGTCGTAGTTGATCTCAGATGCGGCTTTCTGCCCTCCCTAGCGCGCGGCACAGCGGGAGGGCGCTCGCAACTCAGGGCTATCCTTAAATTCAAGTCTCGCCACGAGGCGAGGTCCAGAGGCGAAGAAACCGCAAAAACACAGCTCTAGACGCACGAGAGCATCAGGATTGCAAATGCTGCAAGCTCGTGCACCCTCGGCCCGCAGGAAGGTCGTCTATAGGTCTACGTACGATGTAGACTATGCGTACACCTGCACTCAGTAGCACTGGTTTTGAAAAAATTTACTCTTCCTTTCGAGGGACAGACCTTGAGCATACAGCAGTTGAGGGCGATTGCTGGGATCTATTTGCATACCCGTACACATCAATTCGACGCTCTCCCTCCTTGCGTTGCTTATGGTCAAGCCGTTGCATTTTCAACTGATGACCTGTATGCCATTTCTACATGATGTTGTGTTTTCACGTTTTCACAGGCTACGGACACCACTCTGGGATCGGTTGATGCGCTGAAGTATCAGGTGCGAAGTTAGGCAAGAGTCGTGTCTTGCCAACGTTTCGAGGCACCTCGTCGCATAGGTTGCGATCGTTTGAGCGATTCGCCGTCGTGGTGCAGGGTTTGATGCGTTTCTTGCGCGTTTCGCCAAGCGGAGAGTCTTGCTGTTTTTCTACAATTTTGTCATCCAGGCAATGTGCTGCTGTATCTAACGCGTGGCACCACTGAAGCCCCATCCGGTTGCCAGCAGAAGATTTTTTCTGCGGGGTATGTCTTCATCAAGTAACGGTTTTCATACGCATGTCCACCATCTACTTGCGATGTGACCATTTTTGTTTACTGCATCGGTCATGATTGCGACAGGTGGACGAGTTGAGTGCGAATGCTCTCTCCCCCTTTCAACGGCTCGGTGAGGACATTTCGAATAGTTTGAGCGGACAGCTGGACAGCTTAAAAATTGGAGCGCAGGGCGCTGTGGGAGAAGCACAGACGCAGTTCGGCCAGTCTGTGGCGGAAAACATCGGAAATCCTGTCCAGGTGCCCACTTTGCAGCTCTTAAGTGCCCGGTGTGGGCTGCACGTCTAATCCTCTCTTTACAAGTGCTGTCGTTCTCGGAAAACCTTGCTTCGGTCGATGTGTGCGTTCACACGCTTGTAACAAATGGGATGGTTGAGGGAACGCGGACAAGGGCGGCCAAACGGTTCTTGATTAAATCGAACATGACGCAGGGTCGAAAGTTGAAAAGTCCTTATTTTCAATGCTACTTTCATATCACTAGCTGGTATTGAATGGACGCGACGTGCGCGATGGGACGCTCAGATCTACTGATGGGACTGCTGTAAGATTGACGGCTGCCGCTGGCCCCAAACCTCCTCAAGTGTGGATCCAAACCAAGCAGTCGTTGCCGCTGTAGTCTCCTCCACGAGCCTTAATGTCCGATACTGCGGGCGTCCAAGGCAGCTAGTTGTAGGATCTACTGCTGTGGCTATGGGTCTGTCATGGTGAATGCTGCGAAGATGAATGATTTGACCCAGAATTGCGGACTTTCTAGACCGAAGCTGCAGCCTTCGATAGCACTAGCCCAACAGCAGATCTGAGCGTGTCAACACACCTACGTATATTTTTTCAGTTTAGGTTTCGGGGAAAATGTCTTTGAGTTCGCAGGAAATAAGTTCAATAGAACGGCCTTGACATATCTCGTGCATGGTTGCTGGGGGCTCTTTGGTCGTTTCAAAACCACTCACAATAAATATTATTGGTTGTCCACGTCCGCTTCAAGCTCACAATCGTCAAACGCACGTGCCTCCTCCTTTTGCGAATAAGATGTCCCTCTAAGCATCCGTTTCGAACAATGGCAGGAGGGTATGGGTCAAGTTTTCAGCAAGTTCGGAACCAGCCCCGAGGAGCTACTCAAAGAGGAACAGACATTAACAAACGGCGTGCAGCAGGTACGGTTGTGGTTTCCAATCCTTGGTCATATCTCGGTGTCATGAAACGATTGGTCCGGTTGAACGTGCTTGAAGCGCCGATCAGTTCTCAGTCACCTGATTTCCCCGCCGCGCATTCGTTTCTGTAACGGGCACAGGCGATCAAGGGGGTCGAGCGGGTAGCACCTCCGAGCACTCTGTTCTACGCAGAAAATGCCGCGATTCTGCCTTTATGGGTAGGTATGGTTGTTTGGCCTGAAGAGCCTCTGACCAAGAAAATCATGAACAGCTACGGGCCCCTCGTCTTGGCGGCTCTGATCTACATGTGGCTGACCTACGAGTGCTTCCAAAACCCTGTCTCACTGCAAGGGTTTGCGAGTGGCATCACTAATCTTGGAGGGTTAACGAAAGGTTTTGGAGAAGAGGTATCGGTGGCGACAGCCTGGTCCCACTTTCTGGCAGAGGATCTTTTCATCGGACGTTGGGTGTACTTGGATGGCCAGAGGAACAAAATCTTCACAAAGCACTCGCTGGTCTTGTGCTACTTGTTCGGCCCAGCTGGTTTCTTGAGTCACTTGCTTACCCGCGGGGTGACGAGCGTGGTCAAGCCTGGTGTCCGAGATATCATGCAACAACAGCCTACCGAACCATCGCCGAAAACGCCTTCTTCCGGGACACCTTCCTCGACACTTCGTAGAGAGGCTAAAGAGCTCATCACCAAAGCCAAACGGGAAGCAGAAGAAATACTCCAGCAAGCGCGATCAACCGGAGCTGCGCAAGCTGCATCTTTGCTGGAGGTGGGTGCGATTCATGCATGTGATGCCTGGTTTCCAAGATTGGATTATTCGATGACCTCCAGCGCACGACGAGGTCGGAGATCTGTGTATGAACTGTTTTGTCTTGCGAGACTCAAAGTGCACCGTTAAATATTGCCTTGGCGTTCTGTTCTGTTCGTTCTTGCCCAGGAGGCGGAGACGGAGGCCCTTCTGATATTGAAAGGAGCAGAGGTAGAGAAAGAAGCACTCCTGTTGAGAGCGAACAAGACTGAGCCAAGTACGGAGGCGGAGACTAGACCAGCAGGCTCAGAGGCAAAGGCTGGGTCAGAGGCAAAGGCCGAGTCAGCAAAAATCGAGCCATAAATCCTTTGATGGGAACGACTTGTATTTGATATCAAGAATTATGGAATATGCTGAGCACTAAGCCAGAGTAGTGCTGGGGTCGGGTCAGATTCGAGAGTGATGAAGGCATCCGCTCGTGAGTTTAGGGGCGTTGCAAGGAGCCTGCCAACATGACATTATTGCAAGATTATATTTAGACTGAAATGTTTTCCGAAGGGAACTTACCAGCTGTTACCATAGTTTCTCTTCAGCGCACAGCGCTACTATGCATACGTCGGGAAATTGGTCACGCTTACACACGTTGTCACACTTTTGCACACTTGGCCATCATGCGCAGCTGTGCTGTCGTTGTTAGCATGCTGACTCACATTTTCCGCCAGCGTTTGTACATTAATCGCTGTCTGGGCGAGTTGGGCTGTCTGTAGGCGCGCTTGCCTCCGTTCCAAAGGTTGTATGGATGCTACTGGAGGTGTGTATGTATTGGTACTGATGCTGTTGTTCTGGCAATGGAAATAGAGCAAGGAACAGGATCCCCCAAGTTCCCAGGCCTCCAAGTAAGGGGTTCATCTCTTGAGAAAGCCAATTGCATGTGTGGTCGTCTGTCTTTCTGGTACTACTGTAAGTACCAGGTTGTCCTGATCCGCTTGACAATAATCGCAATTATAGTCTAAAAAAAGCTACAATACAATACAGAATGCGAGCTCCTCCCTTATTGGCTCACCTCCCATACATAGGGCAGGCGTTTGTCTCTCGAAATCTTAATGAATGTAGCCCGCGATCGACCAGCAAGGTGGTTGGCGTCCGCCTCTGTTGGACCAATGTGGATGTTGAAGGTACTGGCTGAGGAACCAATACAACAGGTCAACAAATAAAGTGCAAGAATCTCACCAGCTGAATCTGACACGTATAACAACGAGAAGTTGACCTTCTGTCCATAAGGGTTTCAAGTTTAAAGTCTGCTGTAATCTATTGATTGGCTGGGTGCACATGCCGAGACTGTTCCAATGAACCAATCGGGCAACATGCGGTGGGATTAGGGAGGGCGGGAAAAGGATAGCAGGACAAGCAGACAGCAGAACGCAGGTGTGAGATAGACAGCAGAGAGGAGAGAGAGAGACTGACAGAGACAGAGAGAAAAGAGCATCAAAGAGAACGGATACCTTGAACTGCCCCGCTGTTGGTCGAATTGCGAGACAATGAGCTTTCCGTATCACTGGTGAGTGCATCTCGTCTACAATCTACTAGACTACCACCCGTAGTATTATCGTTCCAACGGTGTTCCGGCCAGCCCCGTATGACTTTGCGTGGGCGGCATCTGCTTCGGCGAACCATCGATGTGATTATGTCTTCTTTGCCGCACGACTCTTGAACGTAGTTCACTGGACGGATGAAGGGTTGTATGTCCGTGGATCGTTCTTCAGGCATACATTTAGAGGATTTAACGTAACGCGTCATATTCGTAATCTATAAGTACTAATAATAAACTTCTTCCGCATGTGCTCTGTCTTGATTGCACGTGTTCGCTTGGCCGTCTTCTTCTGGGGGATCTACAGTGACGCCGAGGTTACCTTCCCATCAGCGTCGCTGGCGACAATAGCTTGCAGAACTCTGGCTGTGGACGCAGAATTGCAGCCGAATAAAATCATCCGAACTCTTCGCGTGGAAGGATCATCCCTCTTGGCGTAAGTGTTGTGTTTGCTTGTTCCGCCACAACAGCACATGCTTGTTTCGCACAATACAGCACCTAGACCCTAGTACCTTTGTAGCTCTCACCGACGATAAAAGCTTGTGTGCGGTGTTCAGGTGTAAAGCATATCCACTGTGCTACAAGTCAGCGCTGACTTCGCTGACTTCAGCGCTGACTCTGCTGACTTGTAGCATACAGAACGGGCCCGCAATTAAGAAAAATGATGTTTTAAGAAAAAAGGCTCAACTTTTCACGAAAATAAGAAAACAGGGCTAAGACCCATGTTTTTGGTCGCCAAATCTTTGAAAAAAATCTTCAAATGTTATCAAACATTTGCGCGCGAATATCTACCAGAGGAACATTTGAGTACCGTTTTTATGGGCAAAAAAATCTTTATCGTGTGGTTTTCTCGAAATGCATCGCACGTGCGGCGGGAATCGTGGTCTACTGCTACAAAACGATTTGTGACAGACAAACCACAAATGCGTCATGGAAACTGAATGTAACGAGCTCGCAAAGGGCTCCCCACAACCCTTGATGCACTGAGCTGATGCTGTGCCCGCCAATATGTGGCGATAGCGATCCGTGCGTGCGAGAAAAATGTTCTCGGTGTCAAAAAGAGACCAAAACGTGCGTCAGCGCTTCCCAACGGCAAAAAGTCGGCCGCTTGAGAGGACATGTGAGTACAAAACTATCCAGCTCTCGTCCTCTAGACCATCGATCCATGTTTTGTCTTCTTGGGTGTCTTCTCCATCAACGACTCTCATCCGGTTGTGCGTGGGTTAGCAGTGGCCGCGCTCAGCCGGCAGGGAGGCACATCGTTGTGCGCGCAACGTTGTGGACACAACGTTTTTTTCGGTCTATTTTTTCACTTGAATATAGAGGGCTTGTTCCTCCGTCCCAAAAAAGACTTTTTCAACACATCGAGTTCACAGCGAACGCGCCTCCCTGCCTGTTGAGTA